CTCTGTCACCCCAGCTTCCTCATCACAGCTCCCTTGAGGGCCTAAGCCTTTAGTCGGACATCCCCCAAGGGCTCCCTGGCTGCCAGAAGGATGTCTGACTGCAAGCTTAGGCCTGATCCCCCGGGGAGTGGGCCTAAGTCGACAGGTGGACATCCCCCAAGGGGTCCTGGACTGCAAATGGGCGCAGGGCGGGCTGAGGGTCCCCCCCGCGTGCACAAATTTTTGTGCACCGGGCCTCTAGTAATAATAATAAAAGCATAATATGTTAATTACACCAGATGTCCTTCCGGACGACCTTCTGGATGAAGCCGGGGCTGCGAGGGCCGAGGAAAGCTACTGTGGCTGCAACCAACCGGCAGTTGGGAGGGAAGCCTGGGTCCCGGGTGCTGGAGGGAAGCCATTGCCAGCAGCCGGGGAAAGAAAGGCCTACTCTTTTTAAAAAAATATATTTCTTTATTGATTTCAGAGAGAAAGGGAGAAGGGGAGAGAGAGAGAAACATCAATGATGAGAATCATTGATTGGCTGCCTCCAGCAGGTCCCCCACTGGGGATCGAGCCCGCAACCCAGGCATGTGCCCTTGGCCTGAATCGAACCTGGGACCCTTCAATCCGCAGGCCAACGCTCTATCCACTGAGCCAAACCAGCTAGGGCAGGAAGGCCTACTCTTGCACGAATTTTGTGCATCGGGCCTCTAGTTTTATTATAAAGGATACAGGTCAGGATCAGCCAAATGAAGAGACATGTTGAGTAAGATCTGGGTGGGTCCTGGACACAGAGCTGCTCTGTTTTCTTTCCCTGTGCATGTCATCCTCCCATCACATCAATGTGTTCACCAACCAAGAAGTTCCACTGAGTTTCAGTGTCCAGAATTTTTATCAGGGTTTCATTACAATAGCATGATTGATTGAATCATAGGCCACATGATTTTTTAAATTTTTTTATTTTATTGATTTTTTACAGAGAGGAAGGGAGAGGGATAGAGAGTTAGAAACATCGATGAGAGAGAAACATGGATCAGCTGCCTCCTGCACACCCCCCACTGGGGATGTGCCCGCAACCAAGGTACACGCCCTCGACCGGAATCGAAGCTGGGACTCTTCAGTCCGAAGGCCGACGCTCTATCCACTGAGCCAAACCGGTCAGGGCGGCCACATGATTAAACTCAACCTACAGCCCCTCTCCCTTCTACAGAGGTACAGTGGGCACACCTCTGATCACATGGTTGGTCTTTCTAGTGAGCAGCCCCTGTCCTGAGTTATTTTATCTCTCAGCATAAATTCAGGTGTGATCCAAGGGGTTCTTGAATAATAAAGACAGTTCTATTACTTGAGAAATTCCCAGGATTTAGCCTCTCTTTCAGGAACCAGGGATAAAGGCCAGTCAAATTCTTTATTATATAATGGGCCTGCTTACCTTACAAAAGAATTCTAGGGTCTCTTAGTTTTGAGCCAAGTTTCAACTTTTTTTTATAACTCTAGTACTGTTATTCTTTTCTATTCTGTTCTATTTTAAGCAAGCAGGTAGTAAACACATTGTTTCTTATTCTACAGAAATAAGTTACTGGAGACTATTTACCAGTGTCCATTCCACTCCAGTCCTATAAGGCTCAAGGACACGACTATGTCCACTAACCTCTAAGTTAAAGATTCTCAGACTTATCTAGGAAGTGTTATAAATATATATTGGGGTCCTGACTCCCACAATTCTGATTCATTTTGAAACAGAGTCCAGGGGTACCACTTTTTGGAAAAGTTTTGATAATTATGATGAAAAACTGAAATTGAGAATCACTACTGCTAGACCAGTACTGTCCAACAGAAATACAGTAATTGCCTTATCTATGGAGGATACATTCCAAGACCCCCAGTGGATGCCTAAAACCACAGATAGTACCGAACCCTATTGTATATATACTGTTTTTTCCTATACATACTTCTGATAAAGTTTAATTCCTCATTTAGGCACAGAAGAGATTAACAATAACTAATAATAAAATAGAACAGTTATAGTAACACTAGAGGCTGGGTGCATGAATTTGTGCACGGGTGGGGTCCGGCCAGCCCAC